TTAAATCAAGCATATCACAATTAACACTTGTCGATGTTGATTGTGGTTTAACATCAAATAATGAACGACTCACCTAAAAATAATTCGTAACTATTTATAGAAGTTTGTAATTAATATATACTTCGCTATTAATAGGCTGTGATGTTGTTAATATTGCCTTAGATTTTTTAACAATAGTATTACAATTCTAATTATTTATAGATAAGAATATACAAAAAAAGAAAAATGAGACTTTTAAAACATACTTCATTAAATGGTGAACCTTTTTGTTGACGTAGATTGAGACCACTTGTTGATTTTTTATTCATTAATGATGATGATGATTCATTCCATCCATTAACAATATTTCGTAAAGATGTTGGTTGTTGATTTTCTTTTAATGTCATTCCATCAGTTTTTCCTTAAATGAAAAAAAGGAAATTTATTAGTCTGGAAAGTTCAGTTTAGTTACCAGCAAGAAGTGCATTGAGCATTTCATCAGGTGCTGATGATTTAGCCATGAAAAACGTTGTTGTTGAACAACCAGGACTACCAGGATTTTGTTCACTTGACCATGATTGATCTTGATTTTGTGTTATATCAGTAAGAATAGAATTTGAAAAGGGTAAAAATGGATCTTCACGCATAAATCGTTCGCCTTCACGATTAAAGAAATCTAAAAAAACGAATATATGATTGAAATAATTTAATTTCTTTCGTTTAAAAATAACCTTCTGAAGTAGATTTAAAATTGAAACGATCATCATTATCATTTGCAATCGATTGATTAGTTAAATTAAGCCATGAATTATTCATTTCAAACGACATTATTTACATATATTGAAATCTAGAACGTTTCTTTAACTTATTCCATATGATACCATACATACAAAAGAATATTCAAAATATAGTTAAACAAAAGACTTAATTATCCATAGACTGACATTGTCTGACATCTGTATGACTGTTTTATATGAAAATAAAACGTTTCTTTGTATTCTATATATGTACATTCAAAATTCAAATCAGTTATAAACTGAGTTAATTAAAATTAAAATCAAGACTATTCTAGAATTAAAAAATATTCTTTGTTAGAGATTTCTCAACAGTTAAATGTAACAACAAGATGGTTTCATGCTTTTTTTATTAGAGAAAATCAATCATTGAAATATCTCTCTAGATGTACATATACCATACTAATATTACTATTTCTTATATTTCGTGAACGATTGATACAGTTGAGTATGAACTAATAAATGATATGTTTCAAAAAAGTAAAACTATTGCATAGCTCTATTTTTAGGTGTATCTATGCAACAAAGTTTGATAGTACATGCTTATTAGTAATCAATTCAACAAATAACAAAGGATTAAAGAAGACTAGATATTGTCATTACTGCATTTTATTACAAAAGTTAAACTTATATCTAAGAACAATGTATATATAATAAATCCTACTAAAAATTAGTTTTATTTGTTAGAATGAGCTTCATTCGACTCACTGAAATCATCGTCTCATTTTATAGTTATTAAATGTAGGATTGTTTCCCTTCAAATAGTCTTATATTTATGAGAAATTTGCGATTAACGTCCGTTCCTTTAAAAAAAAGGTTGACCATAGTTAAGTTATCCATAAAATAGAAACTAGAGTGTGAATGTCATTAAGTCAAACTATGTCCTCTCTCAAGCTACCATACCAAATCTTTTTGAATTAAGTTTCACTAAAAAGAACCTTTTAAATTTTTACTATCAGTATACAGAATCACAAAATACATCTGCCAAAGTTTCGTTATTTTTGTCGAGGTTTTTCTAAGTTAAGCAAACATTGTCACGACAATATACATTATATTTGAAATCAAGCAACTTTATTTACTGTTTCTGTAAAAATTATAACACCAAAAGAATACTTCCATAATCACTACTATAGCTATTCATTCGTCATCCAAATAACATTAATATAACAAAGGCCAGTCCTCTTCTTCTCTTATTCTGTTAACAAATTCCTTGATCTCATGCAAAACGTCACCACCGACTTGATTTCTCCAGCGATTTCGTATGGCGAGTGTCTACACAAAATAATGTAAGTAAAGACATCGTACAAATCAACGAGAACAATGCAAATTACCGTGTTCTGTCGTAATCTATCAGCCAAATGCTGCACTCCAACATTTTCGATTTTATTGTATGTAAGACCTAGTGTGACGAGTGTCTAGTTGAAAAATTAGAGATAAATCATGACATAGATGAAGGGAAAATGAGAATTACTGTATTGTGTCGCAATTCATCAGCTAAATGTTGTGCTGCAAAAACTCCGATTCTATTCCCATGCAGATCTAGTACGGTGAGTCCCTAGAATAAAAAGTGGAGTTAAAAGCATGATAGAAACAAAGAGAAAATGAGAATTACTATGTTGTGTCGTAATGCATTAGCCAATTGTTGTACTCCAACATCTCCGATTTGATTAGATCTGAGATCTAGTACAGTGAGTACCTACACGAAAAATGAAGATCAATACATGGTATAGATGAACAAAGAATGAGAATTACTGTGTTGTGTCGTAATGCATCACCGACATATTGTGCTCCAACATCTCCAATTTTATTAGACTCAAGACTTAATATAGTGAGTGTCTATATAATAGAAGTGGTAGTAAATATACAGTATAGATGAAGAGAGAATGAGTATTACCGCATTATGTTGTAATGCATCGGCGAACTGTTCTACTCCAGCATCTCCGATTTCATTGTATCCGAGACCTAGTGTGGTAAGTGTCTAGATGAAAACGTGAACGTAAATACATACTATAGATGAAAAGAGAATGAGAATTACCTTGTTATGTCTTAAAGCATCAGACAAATGTTGTGCGCCAGTTTGCCTAATTTGATTGGATCCGAGACCTAGTGTGGTGAGTGTCTACAGATAACAGTGAAGGTAAATACATAATATAGATAAAAATAGAACTAAAATTACCGAGTTGTGTCTTAATGCGTCAGCCAAATGTTGGGCTCCAACATCTCCAATTTCGTTAGACTCAAAACTTAGTGTAGTGAGTGACTAGATTAAAAAGTGAAGATTAGTGCCTGGCATATATGATAATACAATGAGAACTACCGTATTCTGTCGTAATGAATTAGCCATATGTTGCGCTCCAACATCTCCGATTAGACAAGATTCGAGACCTAGTGTTGCAAGTGCCTGAATAAAAAATTAATGATAAATACACGGTCTTGATGTAGGAAAAATCAGAATTACCGTGTTGTATCGTAATGCAGTCGCCAAATTCTGTGCTCCAATATCCCCGATTTGATTGTATCCGAGACCTAGTATGTTAAGTGTCTAGATAAAAAAGTGAAGGAAAATACATGATATAAATGAAGAGAGAATGCGAAATACCTTATTGTGACGTAAAGCATCACCTAAATATTGTGCTCCAACATGTCCGATTTTATTACATCGAAGACCGAGTGTGGTGAGTGCCTTCATGAAAAAGTAGAGATCAATGCATGGTTTAGATAAAGTGAAAATGAGAATTACTGTATTGTGTCGTAATGCATTAGCCAATTGTTGTGCTCCAACATCTCCTATTTCATTCCATCCGAGACCTAATGTAATGAGTATCTAAAGGAGAAACTGGTGGTAAATACATAGTATCGACGAAGGAAGGATGAAATTTACCTTATTGTGTCGTAATGCAGCAGCCAACGGTTGTGCTCCAACATCTCCGATTTGATTAGACTCAAAACTAAGTGTAGTGAGTGACGAGATCAAAAAGTGATGATAAATATATGGTATAGATGATGAAAGAATTACAATTGCTGTATTGTGCTGTAATGCATCAATCAAATGTTGTACTCCAACATCTCCTATTTTATTAGACTCGAGACTTAGTGTAGTAAGTGTCTAGAATAGAAACGGATGGTAAGTACACGCTATCGATAAAGAGAGAATGAGAATTACCGTGTTGTACCTTAATGCATCAGTGAAATGCTGTGTCCCAACATGTCCGATTCGATTGTATCCGAGTTCGAGTGTGGTGAGGATCTATACGAATGAAAAAATTAAAATAAATGAATAATATAAATAAAGAGAGAATGAGAATAACCGTGTTGTGTCGTAATGCATCACTCAAATATTGTGCTCCAACGTGTTCTATTTGGTTAGATTCGAGCCCTAGCGTGGTGAGTGCCTAGATGAAAAAGTGACGGTAAAAACATGATATAGATAAAATGAAAATGAGAATTACTGTATTGTGTCGTAATCCACGAGCCAAACGTTCTGCACCAACATCTCCAATTTCATTCCATCCGAGATATAGTGTAGTGAGTGTCTAGAATAGAAAGGGGTGGTAAGTTCACGGTATTAATGAAGACAGAATGATAATTACCGTGTTATGTTGTAAGACATCACCCAAATGTTGTGCTCCAACATGTCCGATTTTATTAGATCTGAGGTCTAATGTAGTAAGTGTCTAGAGAGAAAATGGAGATAAATGCATGCTATTGATGAAGAATGAATGAGAGTTACCTTATTGTGCCTTAATACACGAGCCAAACGTTCTACACCAGCATCTCTAATTCTCTTAGAGCTGAGGTTTAATATAGTGAGTGTCTAGATGAAAAGATAGAATTGTTCGTAACTGTCATCTGTAGGTAGATCAGTCAAACAAATGTTGATGTTACTCGACTGAAAAGTGCATGTGTATGTATCTGAATATTTCTGTGAGTTTACATGGCTGGCATTGCTCATGATTGTCGTATGAAAATTGGCGCAAAATATGTTACTAAGGACGACCAATGCATAGAAGTTTTTTCAGCTGTCAATATCTGTTAGTCTTCGAGTATTGTGAAGAGTTACATATTCTTAATGGAGCATTTATCAGAGATATATCTCCAGGGGAGTTTTAAGACCATTGGTGTCTTTTAAAATCTGAATTTTATTAACGAAATGGTATTAAAAAAAAGTATTTGATACAGGTAAAAAATAAATAACAGTAAGTTTTACCTTTTTTTCGTTCTTATCTAGACATTACATGTCTATGACATCATACCTGGTTTTAAGCATGGAATATTTAGATGATATCGAAAAGAAAGAAGAAAAAGAAATCATTTTTTTCTGACTATGAGGTCATTATTTCCATTATGTATATTTCTTTAAAGTCATTTTATTTAAACGGATATTGTAGAAATGAGAAATATTTTGTAAGTCATTAGATAAGAATTAGACTATCATGATAGAAAATAGTTTACCTGATATCGATGATAACTGTCGATGATGTTATTGAACCGTTGACATACGTTTCTCATTGAACATAGAATGGTGTAGTCCGTTTGATGATCAAGAATTCCATGGATAAGTTCTACCGGTAACGTAAGAAAGCTGGTGCCAGTTTGATTTGCCATTGTAGACTGTTGATAAAATATGCGTTGTGTAGCCTAGTATGTTGATCGTATGATATGTTCTTCTCTTTCTTATCATGAAATGAGTTGATATTTGTTTTGACATAGATATTAAACGATATTATATTTAGTTGTTAGAAGCAAAAAAAACGAAAAAAAATGATATCAACTACAAAATGACAGAATCGACATATACTAACTGTACACAACATTTTCATTAAAACTATCTTAGCAATATAGAAAGTTATAAATTAAACATGAATATTGTGTCCTCAGTTATATTCAGTTCAGGTTAAATGACTTTTTTTTCCAAAATCTATATTTTTATTCAATCACGATATCAAATATAGATACTTTATAAGATGGAACAGAATTTGTCCTCAAGAAATAGTGTCAGACGAGTGAATCCAGAAAACAAATAAGATGATTGCT